TTTTTTGATTGAAATGATAAACAATCACCTCCTAAACACAACACAGCGTGAGACCATCTTCAGCCCATATCAATATTCTACTGTAGAATTTGCTCTACTCTAGATTAGAGTTAACAAACAAAGTTCTTCTCAAATTGTTTCGTTACATTTTACTCTACATGAATAAAAACTTTATTCTCATTATTTTAAATTGATTTGAAATGTGGGAATACTACGTAGAGTGCGCTCAATTGTGTTTAAAGCAAGGAATGATTCTATATTTTTCAAACAGTGTTGCAACACCAGAATAAATAAAATAGTAGAAGCACAAAACATGAGATAAAAAATCTTTGTAGCGTGTTACTACCCCCTCAAAGATCTTTCATTAATAGACCGATTGTGCACACGAGTATAGTTTGGACTTATACAACTAGAACTCCTTTATGACATAGTCAACTCTATACTCGATCCTACCAACTACTCCTCTGGTCACTTCCCGTGAACTTTACACACTCGAATCACTCGAACAAAACCAGTACTTAATCCCTAAGTACTATAAGAATGTTTCTAAATAAAACGACTTCGGTTATTCGATAGTGTAAGAACACCGACGAGCTGAACAGTGAAACAAAATCAAAGAACCAAACCAGCCAACTCTATACTCTATCTTACCAACTACTTCTCTGGTCACGTCCCGTGGACTTTACAACTCGAATCACTCGAGCAAAACCAGTACTTAATCCCTAAGGGCATGATTGGTATGAATGAATGACATGAGAATGAAATGATCATTCCTTCACTCATTCTGTATCCTTTGATTGGTATACATTTTTTAAAGGAATGACCATTCCAATGGGAATGACAAAACCAATCTCCATGGGATTAGCCATTCTTTAGTTCATGGAAGGTTTTCTCATTCCCATGTGTGTAGGAATCAATTTTTCAAAAAATAAAATTAACAAAAAATAATAAAAAATAAATATATAATATATATTATAAATCATGATTAAAATATATTATATAAAATTAATTTATAAAATAAAAGTCAAATAAAAAAATTGAAAACTTACTTTTATTTATTGTTTAATTAGATATATTAAATACTTATATAAAAATAAAACAAAAAAAAGCATTTATATAATTTAAATATATTATTTCATATTTATATATTATTAAAAATATATTATTTTTTATATATAAAAAATATATTACTTTAAAAAATATATTATTAAAAATATAGTATTAAAAATAATAAAAATATATATTATTGAAAAAATATTAATTTTTATTTTTATATCTTATTAAAAATATATTATTTTAAAAAATAAAATTCAAATAAATAAATTCGAAACTTACTTTTATTTATTGTGTAATTAAAAAATAAATAAATATATATATATATTATAAAAATATATTATTTCTTATATATTAAAAATATATTACTTTTAAGAATATATTATTTTTATATATAATTTTAAAATATATTATTTTATTTTTGTGTATTTTAAAAAAATATTATTTTTATATTATTAAAATATATTATTTTATTTTTGTATATTATTAAAAATATATTATTATTTTTACATATTATTAAAGAAACCATTTAAATATAATTTATAAAAAATATATTATTATTAAAGAAAACCTTTTATTTACTTTTTTAATAAAAAATGATAATGTCATTCAATTCAGGTCTTATTCCTTCTCATACCAAACACATCAATGACAAAACTTGTTTCATTCCATTCCCATAATCATTCTATTTTGCAGTTCATTCCATTCCTACGAAATTCCATTCCAGTATACCAATCATGCCAACGTTGAAACAAAACATGAATAATAATAATCTCAGCAGATTTCAATTGTTCTTCAATATGGGTATATAAAAACTCGAAGTCTTCTGCATGCAATTTCATGCTATTTGTGATTTCCTTCCAAATCTTGTGGTTCAAACAGGGTAAGTAGATATTGCCTCATCTCTCTTCCTTTGATCTTCTTACCATCCTCGTTGCCTTTTATCTCCATGCACACATCCAAAGATCTACAAAAATACAAAACAAAATCAAATTAGATCTTTCCAGTGCTCATAACCTAAAAGAAATCTATACTTATATTAAAAGTTAAACTATTTACTAAATGTAGTATGTAGAATAGTCAACCCTAATTAATGATTTACTATTTTTATCAAACATTTAATTAATTAATCTAATATTTTTGGTATGCAAATCAAATTAGCATTTAATTAGTTCCTAAAATATTGGGTATCCAATATTAATTTAGGAATATACATATAGTTCCTAAAATGTTGGTATGCAATAAAAAGAAGATTTTTTTATCTTTTTTAAATATAAAATATTGCAACACGTAAAACTATTCCAATTATTTTTTTATTTTATTTTACATATAAAATTTAATAAATATTTAATGCATCCTACAAAATTGGATTTAGTTTAATTCTCCATACAATTGGTTGTAAGTTTTTCAGTTGTACATTTTTTATTTATTTATTTTACACTTTTAAATAAATGAAGCTCTCCGAAAATACCAAATCAAATAATTTATGAAAGTTTTTTTTTTTTTTTTTTT